ACCTCCTCTCTAGGATCTAATCTCAATCAGACATCAATGGCATAACCCTCGAGTCATTTAAGTTTTCGTGCCCACTTCCTCCTGAGCCAAAGCAAGTTTTATGAGTCACTGCCTTCCTCTGATTTTATCAGCAAAATATCAGGATTGTGTGACATACGACAAATATATAACAACAGAATCAACTTTGAGATGCATATCGTCAATTTAAATCTTTTCTTTTCAGATGCTATTAGCAATCATCTGCTGTCTCTGCCTTACAGAACCCTGATACAGGACAGGGGAAGTGTGTATACAGAAGGGGAGAGTCGAGCTGAGGGATGAAGGAGGTGTGTCTGTAGAGAGCGTTCTTTTAGGTCTGAAAATCTGCTCTGGAAGTCACATAGTAAGCCTTTAACAAGCGTCCTTACCACTAGCTGTATGCAGAGAATGTATTAAAATAATAACATATGTAGAAATACTGCACAGGGTGTCAACAGGTGCTGCAACATTTCTATTTGTCTAAGGTGATACTGGACCCAAGCATTGCTCCAATATTTTCATTCAATTTTTGTAAACTATTTTTCCAATAGTTCATGAATTCAATCTGTTTGTGTCAGATAGAGGGGAGGTAGTTGCAATGTCTGAAAGGTTGTATTTCTGGTTCCTGGAACATGAGGTCTCACTCCCCGTGGGACACATCCAAGCAGCCCTATTATCCACTCCAGTGAGAAGACAGTCCAAAAAGCAAGACCACCACACCACCCCAGCACCTAATCTCATTTTATGTAGTCCCTGTCGCTTAGAGCAGCTTTCTTCCTCTTTGGCCTCAGTTGTTTTTTAAGCTACAGGCTTTGAGTTGTAGTGAGATCATTCACAACGCAGCAAGACATCAATCACAACTACTAAAAGTAACTGGAGATGCATTTTGTGACATTACTATAATGTATACAGATGTCACTGATATAATGTGTTTCGATACATTAGTCTTTCCACATACAGGAGATATTATGTTGAAGGTGCAATGCTGTTTTGGTTGCCGTGGCAACTAATGACCATAGGGTAGGTTACGTAATTTATCAGTAAGATGGGGGCATTATTGCTTTTTGTTTGTTCACATTTTCCAGGTATTTGGTCATTTTGCACAAAAAATGTTGTTAAAATGTGATGCTAAAAGCCTTTGAATTGAAATGAATATTGGTCAAAGATCACATCTGAGATTTTAGTAATCTGCCTCTGAATGTATTTTGAACACTGTCATACTAAAAACCTTGTTTGCATTATTTTCACATCACTTTTTGGAAAGGCTTGACCCCTAGAGGAGACACATTTCAGGTCTGAAAGATTCTTTCTCCTGTGCTCAACTTACGGCTACTTCTGCATGTCTTCTCGAAATGATGTTTTGTCATTTCAATTCACATTATTCAAATGTCTTCATTAATATTTATAGGGGTTCTGAGATATGGATGGAGGAGGGTCTGATGGAGGTCAGTTTCTACTCCCACATCTCTGCTCATGGACATTTGTAATGCATCATTTGTTTTACTGCAATGAGAGAGCAGAAGCAATGGAGATATGGAGAGACACAGAAGCATGTGCTTTAATTAGCAGTCACCCACATTTTACAACCATGTTCTCTTCCCAAATTAGTTGCAGTCAGCTATAAATCCCACCTAAGTCTCAATGTGTAAATAATTCAGAAATGTACATGACAGGGGTTCTGTAGCACCTCTGACTTAGAGATCAACATTGAATGCTATGTAGCCTTACAGCTAAACAAATATCAACCTCAGGACATCCTGAAAGGTAAAAAATGTCTTGATAATAGAACAAAAAAACCATGGTCCTGCTGTTGATGTCATATTGTTGGTCATTCTAACTGGTCGGTCTGCTGTGTCACTGCAGGAACTCGTTAGGTTAAGTGTCCACACCTGGGTGTGCATGGGCTGTGATCCAAAGCCTGGCACCCACTACAAGATTTTCAAATTCTTAAACGATTTTGAAAATTTGAGACGCCACACATGACAAGAAATATTCACAGATTTAACAGTTTTGTCCTTAAAGTGTGTGGTGTGCAACGACAGGACAAACTCAGGACACCAAACTAACAGATTAATTCACCAACAACCAGAGTCTCGACTCCATAAACTTGTAACCACACGAGATGTACCAGGAAGTTGTTACCTGCTACATCCATTGCAGTAGCAATTTTAGTCCGACTCCTGTCCTTGTCAGTTTAATCGTGGTATGATGTACATCACAGGCTGTATGTTGCGTTGTGTTGTTGCAACAAATCATCCAGTTGGTTCTCCATTTCTGATGTCCATCTAACTTCATTCTTCCCATTTGCTGTCGTCGCCATGGTTATGTTTGTTGGGCTTCCTGCTTCAGTCAGCTTGCTTCCTCATTGGCTATTGTTCTGTTCCATGTGACAATCCAAGGAGTGTTTGCTCATCTGACTTATGTGTTCTCCAAATAAAGGATTTCTTATCCTTAATATTAGACATGTCTATATCTTCAAATCAGGGAGGCCCATGAGCAGATCGGGAAGGGTAAAATCACTCGTAACGCCTCAGACCACAAGAAAATCTGGCAAGATAATCTTAAGAGCCATCAGATAATCGTGCCTGTGCTGACTTTGGACGGAACTGGGAAATCAGGCCCAATATCAGGACAATTATATTGCTTAAGTTGATCAATGCTAAGGGTTTATAAAATTAAAGACACAAAACAACATTTCAACCTGTTTGACTATTCTTCATCTCCTTGATGGAAGTCTCAAAACAAATATTCAGAACTGAATTGACCCGATTGTAATCAGTGAATCAGATTATTTGGCAGGAATTGCTTTCTGAGTATTGGAGAGAAAAACGTTGTATAAAGTAAGAGGGCTACCTTTATGAGCAAGAGCAAACACTGCAGAATGTCCTAATTCAGAGAAATTTATGCACAGTAAATCATTATAAATCGGTCCTTGTTGTTAATGTTTTTTTGGGAAGAGGATGGAGCAAAAATCACCAGAGGCAGAAACCTGCAGGAGGCTCTGAAGTTTTCGTTCCATTTTAAGCCCAGTAAATATTTATAAGCCTTTTGTTAAATCACTGGAAGATTAATGTTGCTTGGGAGGCACAATTTTAATATAATGCATAATTTCTCCTGATCAACTGTACCATGTAGAACTTGCTTCGTATTTTAAATAAAATTGGTTGAAGATGATTTTCTGAGTCAATGACCGCTCTGTATTTAATTTGTCAAACTGTTTGTAGCCTCTCCTAACAGAGCAGAAGAGTTTCATATTTGAAATGTCTGATCACAATACAACTATTTGCAAGATTACATTTTTATCACCGCTCCCGTCTCAGCTACAGTATTGACCATCATGAACACATACTGTGGCTTTTGAATCATCCATTTGACTTCTGCATCATCATGTCGGAGAAGATCGATATTCCACTAACAAGCCCATTGCTTTGTGTGAGCTCTACTTCCAGGCCCAATGCCAACTGGATTTAACAATAGTGTTACACACTGGATAACAGAGAAAGCGTCACAACTGAAGTTTTGTTTAAACTGTCAAATCCAGCCAAAAATAAAATATTCACATCTTCCTTAAAAATTGTTTTCAACAGTAGTACACACAGCTTTGAGACACTATGAAAACGTACTGGGCTTGAGCATCTGCACAGGTTCAAGAAAATACAATACTTAAACCTCTTTGTTGACTTTCTTTTGATCATGACATGCACAGAATCTCAGACAGACATGAACTCTGTAAGCATTTTATATAGTAGGTGGGCATTCTTATTCTTTTGAAAACAAAGTATGGTACTCAAAACTCAGCAGAAACTACATTTAGTAAGACAAAAGTCAATAAATAAATTTTCATCAGGGTGGTTGACGGACAGAATCACTCCAATGATTCCCTGTCAGCCTCGAAGTCATCCTCTGTTATTGTTTGGATTGAGAGCCCCCTGGTGGTGGAATTCACATGCTGTGCGTTTAATTTAAGAGTCATTACAGGAAAGACTACAACTTCCCTCTCTCTTTTTAATACCATGAGTTTCCATCACTGAGTAGAAAATTGGATAAGCTTAGATTTCTTAAGCACATGTCCATTCAAATGTAATGAGGAACAAGACGATGCTGAGCTACTTTGAAAACCTTTTGGGTTGAATAGAGCATTATGCAAAACAAGTTTCCAAAAACCCATAATTTATTTGGTCTGTCTGTGGATTGAACTTGTGCATTGACTTCATATTCATCCTAATGCTTCTCCTGTGGAGTTCTTATTCTCCAAGAGGCTGCAGAGCTCCAGCAGAGCCGACAAAAATAATGAGCAGAAGAAGCAAATCAAAGATGTGTAAAATACAGATATTGTGTTCAAAAAAACATCTTGACAAGGTAATAACCCAACCATTTGCAGGTTTCATGTGTGAAAGTGTTGTCTCTGATTACTGTCATGCTGCTCTAAATCTTTGACAACACATAATTTTACGTACTTTAAGTGTTTATATTTGTTTGACGGTATTAGCTTTGACTTAAAGGTCACATATTCTCCTCCTTTTTCAACCAGTTTAAATAAGTCTCAGAGCTCCCCAAACCATGTCTTTAAAGTTAATTGCTAAAAAAAAAAAAGTCTGATCCTGTATTTGATCATGCCTGTAAACCCCTCTATTTCAGCCCTGATCAGAACAGGCTGTTTCTGTGTCTGTACCTTTAAATGTAAATGAGCTGTGTCTGACCACGCCCCCTCTCTGGAAGGGCTTGGGTGTCTCTGGCTTTCTCGCTCCATGTCCTATTCTTTACGGTGAGAAGACAGACTCAGAGGGCAGAACAAACACCTAGCTGAGGGAGTGTCACCCACCTGGGGGGAGGGGTTACTGACCTCTGTGATGTCATGAAGGGAAAATCTCCAAACGGCCTGTTTGAACACAGATTTTCTGAAAAGTGGAGCAGGCAAAAGATGGAGGGGATGGACTTTTCTCATCATTGGAGGGGTTTGTAGACAGACTAGGGACACATAATAGTGTTAGAACAACATGCTGAAGTTTATTTTGCACAATATGTGACCTTTAAGAAACTAGCTGTGAGATTAGCGTGTAATTTATTCAGCTGTGTGTGTGTAGATGTACAGAATCTATAGGGAACAATAATCTCTAGTTAGTGTGTCATCCAGTCTGTTTTCTGTTTCAGTCTCACAGTGGCGCTGAGAGAAAATTTGTCACTAAAACACACACGGGGTACATGGGACATTCAACAAATCTGGTCTGCCTCCCTTCGTTGACGTTGTGTTGCGAGATGCTATCTCACCAGAATGTTAATGGAATCTTTCTGGGGAGACCACCACTCAGTGTGTTTCCCTGTGTGACCACCACCACAAGCAGTGAAGAAAGACAGGCATCATTAAAACAGCTCGACAGCCTCAGTGTGGGAAGATGGGACACTGATACTGAAGCAGGGGTGAAAAACATCTATTCTCTCTCTCTCTGTTTCTCACACACTCCCTTAGACCCCTAATTCATAAAGGATGTCTTCCTGCTTAGTAACAGACCATTTGCATCACACCCACTCCTGAAGCCTCTCACTGTGTCCACACCACAACACAGTAAGAATGACCCTTAACACAACAACAACAGACCATGTGTACATCGGTACCACAGTGCATGCTTAAGTGTGTTTTTGTTCTCTGCTGTGGAAGATTCATTCAGGGCTGATCCGACCTGAAAAAGCAAATACATAATCAATCAGCAGCACTTCCATTTAGAAGAGAAGACATGACAGCAGCGGCCTTAACTCTGCTTTTAGACAAATGGTACTCAGCTCTTACACTGGCTTTGTTTTGTATGTTTTAGAGAGATGATGGGATGTACTTGCATGCTAAAAAAAAAAAAAAAAGGAAAAAGTGGAGACATTTGATAGTGATGCAATGATTAAACTATTTTATCTTTCTCTTTTCTAAATAAAAATATTTAAGAGAAGCTGGAGACTCACAGTCCATCATTTTTGCTTTTTTAACAACCTATCCTTCAGTAAGGCCTGCTACCAAAGAGGATTAGGGCCAGACATGAGAAATACAAAATGAGAGGAGGAAGATGTTTTCTTTTTCATGAGGCAGTTCAAGAAAAAAGTTGAAATGTTGAGAATGAAGTTTTGTGAAATTACCACTTACTTCTTGAAATTACATTTCAATTTTGTTCTGGACATTTCGACCTTATTCTCAAAGTGCATCATGAAAAAAAACATACTCCTCGTCTGGCCCTAATCCTCTTCTGTAGCGTGCTATTAAGCATGCCATGGAAAATAAAAAGCAACATTCAGCAGATGTTTCCCTTGTAGTGAAGGACTCTTCTTGCTCCAGCACACAACTTAACCAAGCAGATAAATAGAAAGCATGTCAAGGGGATATCAAAGAGAAGGCTGTTCAACCTGGTGCCACCTTGTGCTGTTTTCCTTTTTATTTCCAATGCTGCCTGAGAAAAGGTCTCAACTTTAAAAAGACCATAATGTGGTTTTAACTTATCATCCTAATTTCAACTCTCTACCTTTACTTCCTTCAGGCTGCACAGCAATGCTTGGGGATACAACACTAGCATGGTAACTTGCTCACAATAACAGTGTGACTTCTTGTTTATAAGTTGGAATAGAGTTTACTATGCTCAGTATTTCAGTACTAATGCAATTACTAATTTAATGTTGCGCTGTCAGTATTGATGGCATCCCCACCACTGAGCCTTCATCTGAACACATTTAGGAGATTAAAGCCATGTCATAAAACGAGGAATAATATTTCTTAACTACAGAAAAAGAGCTTTAATCTTTGATTCCTACAGCAGTGACTAAAAACAAAGACATTTTCTTCCTATCCGGGTAATAAATAAAAGAACAAGACACATGCTGAGGCCGTCCTCCCAAAATACCAACGGTATTAGTCTTTTCACTAAATGCCTCGGGTTACCATTAATATCTGAACAGAAGCTGACACATTGGGATGCCTCAAACAAATGTAGTCTCAGGGATAGTTAACTGAAAACTATGCAGGACAATCGATGGTGTGGGCATAGAATCACATCTGCAGCAGCATCTCCTTTACATGAAGCCGGATGGACTTCCTCTTGGTGTTCCAGCTATTCCAGCAGCAGCAGACTTAAGTTCAGCGTTACTTGAAGAACCATCAACAACAGGAAGACGGCCATGAAGCCATCCACATTGAACGATATTCTCTTCCTGCACAACAACTTCTTGTCTTTTTTCTTGCGTTAATAAAAGAACATGTTTTTGAGAAAGTCTAAAAAAAATATATGAATAATTGTAACTTCTGCTAAATGTGCACCACCCAATAAATATCTGGCTTAGTGCATTAATGCTCTGCTTCTTGCCAGAGAGTAAACTGTCCAGTTTTTCCTTTGTTGGGTCAGGACCTTCAGAGAGATATTACAACACAGAGATACTCAAAAGTGCAGATTTAAAAAAAAAAAAAAAAGTTCTTCAAATGTCAGGGCCTCTGTCTTTATTTGCATCTTAATGGTGAATTTTGCACGCACTGTATTCATCTTAAGTTGCCCCTAAGCGTAATAAATATTCATCTGAATGTATCAAAAATTCATGGTCAAAACTGAGTTTGGGAAAACAGTAAAAATTAACTGTGCCTGAATCACAGAGCAACACAATTTGGTGCTGTGCAAGGAACACAGACATTCTTGTTCAGGACATAAGTGGTTCTCCCACCCTGTGGGTAATTCTTCTATTGTATTCTTAGATGTCACTGTGAAAGACCTGAAATTAGATAACCCTCCCTAATCTTCTCAAAATAAAAAGCACATTTTGTAGTCATGTAAGCCATTAGATGTTAATAAAGCTTTGTCCGTCACATTTAATGAATATTTAAAGCTTGTCTGTATGATGAAATGTGAAAAGCACAGGAGCTCATCCACTACACTGTAAGTTCTGCATCCTTCCTGGTGCTTCAAACAACAGAATAAAAAAATCCTCATTCAACCCAATATGCTCATTTAATTCCCTTCAGATCCTGCAGATTAAATTAGAAATTGTAATCAAGCCTCCTGAAAAGCCTCAAGGTGAAGCTGAAATCAAATCAAAGACCGACTGTGATGGAAAAAAATAATAGGCTGGTAGAAGGTCTAAGAAGCTGTGCGTGTCATTTCCCTACCACTCTGGCAGACAGGAACAGCATCAGCACACAGCTCCTCACAGTCAGTCAGACTCATACACAGTCAACACAAGTTCAAGACATCCACCTTACCTAGAAAACAGAAAGAGGAGATCAAGGGGTTAATGAACAAGCCTAGCATGCAGACAAAAACTGTAATTTTTTCAGCATTACATTTTGCAGCAAAGGGATGGAGGAAGTGTAAGTTATCTCTGCTATCATGTAAAACATATAAAGTGATGTTGGGGTTGTATCAAGTCAACTTTGGTTATATTCTTTAATAATTATACTTAATTATTAATAATATAAATAAAATATCATTAAACTATGTTTAATCTTGTTTTGGGGCACCAACCTGTAATCAGGTAAATATAACCAAAATATCATTCAAATCAGTCTCAAATTAGTTATTTAATTACTAATATTATTAATAATGAATAACTATATTTAATAAATTGAAGGCGTGAAATCCGTACACAAAGCCTTCGCACCCAGCTTATATCACAATGCAAATACACCAGTAAGCACAAACAACTGCTCTCTTAAATTATAACAGAATTTATTTAAACAAAGCAACATCAACCCAAAGTCAATGACCTTAATTAAACAAATAACTATTATAAACTAATCTAAGCAACAAACATCATCAAGCAAAGGCTTGTGGAAAGGGTGTGAATGTGTGTGAGAAAGAGAGAGAGAGAGAGAGAGAGAGAGAGAGAGAGAAGAAAGGGGGGAGATGGCTTCGTACCCATGTGGTCGTTCACGATGGCGCAAACCTAACAAAGACCTAAATGTGGCCTTAATGTCTAAAAGAGACCGAGTTCGGCCCTACACGATCTGTGTCTCTGAGGCGTCTCTGGATGGCTGCGAGTGATTAGATCTCTGTGTGTGTGGGTGTGTGTGTGGCCTACGTGCGTAATGGCACGGTGGTGGAGTTTGTCCCCAGACGTACGTTTGCACGGGAATATGTGTGTGTGTATGTTCATAGAAGGGGAAATAAAAGAGGATAAAAGAGAATAACAGAGAAATGCGTGCCTGGAGAGGCCGGATCACAGTCCGACTCCTGCGCCACAACTCGGAGTAATTCCCTTCTTTTACAGAAACAAACCAATAGCCGAATTCAAGTTAATACGGCTTACACTGGCCTTTCTGATCAGAAGAGTAATACCCGGTTATAACGCTATTACGCTAAACACATATAGGACGCAGCGGCCCGAAACAACAACAAGAGTTTTAAACAGTTAAAACTCAGGACCAACAAAGATAAAAAATTATAGTTTCTGCTTCGATCAACAATTGTTAAAAACACTCTCTAAAGCTAATTCTGCCCAGACCTAATTAAGCCTCACTTGTGAATCGCTTTGTCCGCGATTGGTGAAAGGAAAAGAGTCCGGCAATGGAGCAAATCTTCTGTCCGTCCTGGTGCAGAGGCGTCTGATGGCGGCGAGGGTCCCTTACGGCAAGTCGAGTGGAAAGATGTCCTTTGATGTCCTTTCGTTGCAGGACGGAATAAGACCGTTATCTTTCTGATAATCTGTTATAGTCTGACGCTCTCCGAGAAACTGAGATGCGTTCACTGGACAATCCGAGCTCGGAATTGAGAACACTGCCGGCCGCGGATTACCTGCACGCCAAAAAACTTAAAACAAAGGAAGATGGTTGCAGAAAACAGGAGGTGAGCTTGGGTCTCCGAGCACTTGAAGTCAGCGCGTGGAAAGAGAAAGAACAATGGAAGTCTTGGAGTTTTTGTAGCCTGGCCTGCTCCATGGGGGGTCTACCTCAGGTCCCCTCCAATGAGGAGAGAGAGGTTCCGGTCCCCCCTTTACTTCACGCGTAGGTGTGAAGTACCGCAGGGGATTCTGGGATTAAGAGTCCTTTTAGGCCTCTTTGTGATCTCAGTGAATAACTCAAATGAGGCTTTTACAGAGGTGCAGGCCCAAGTCCATTGTTTGACTGTCCTAAGCCTGCGTGGCCCAACAGTGATTTAAATGTCAGTTCCAAATAATAATGATATTATAAATAATGTATTTATAGTCTCGACTGTTTTTCTCCAATCGACGTTTCAGAGCTATATTCCATTTTTTCTGCGTCGAAACCGTCAACCTGTATTTTGGACCCAATCCCAACCAAGCTGTTTAAGGAAGTCCTTCCCTTAGTTAGCAACTCTATATTAGATATGATCAATTTGTCTTTACTGGCAGGCTATGTACCCCAGGCATTTAAAGTAGCGGTAATCAAACCTCTACTTAAAAAGCCTACTCTGGACTCAGGAACTCTGGCTAACTACAGGCCTATATCCAACCTTCCTTTTTTCTCGAAGATCCTGGAGAAGGTGGTAGCTAATCATCTGTGTGACTTTCTCCATGACAACAGTTTATTCGAGGAGTTTCAGTCAGGATTTAGAGTCCACCATAGCACTGAGACTGCACTAGTTAGAGTTACAAACGATCTACTTCTAGCCTCAGACAGGGGACTTCTGTCTGTGCTCGTCTTATTAGATCTTAGTGCTACTTTTGACACCATTGACCATCAGATCCTGTTGTACAGACTGGAGCATTTGCTTGGAATTACAGGGACTGCTTTAAGTTGGTTTGAATCCTACTTATCAGATCGATCTCAGTTTGTACAGGTTAATGATGAGTCCTTTATGCACACTAAAGTTTGCCATGGAGTCCCACAAGGTTCAGTGCTTGGACCAATTCTCTTTACATTATATATGCCTCCTCTGGGAAATATTATGAGGAAACATTCCATACAGTTTATTGTTATGCAGATGATACTCAGCTTTATGTATCAATGAAGCCCGTTGGCACCAGTCAGTTATGTCAGCTAGAAACGTGCCTTAAGGACATTAGGACCTGGATGACCAGAAATTTTTTGCTACTTAACTCAGACAAGACTGAAGTTATTGTGCCTATTTTCACCTTCGTAATATATCCAAGATCAGGAATATCCTGTCGCAAAATGATGCAGAAAAACTAGTTCATGCATTTGTTACCTAAAGACTAGATTATTGTAACTCTCTTTTGTCAGGGTGCTCTGGCAAATCTCTAAAGACTCTTCAACTGGTCCAGAACTCTGCAGCTCATGTACTGACCAGAACCAGGAAATGGGACCACATCACTCCTGTCCTGGCTTCTCTGCACTGGCTCCCTATACAATCTAGAATAGAATTCAAGATCCTTCTTCTCACCTACAAAGCTCTAAATGGCCAGGCACCATCTTACCTGAAGGAGCTACTAGTGCCGTACTGTCCCTCGAGAGCGTTGCGGTCCCGGAGTGCAGGCCTACTGGTGGTACCTACAGTCTCCAAGTGTACTATGGGGGGTAAAGCCTTCAGTTATTGGGCTCCTCTCCTCTGGAACCGCCTTCCAGCCCGGGTCCGGGAGGCAGACACAGTCTGTATTTTTAAGAATAGACATAAAACTTTCCTTTTTGATAAATCTTATAGTTAGTGCTGGTGTAGACCAGCTCTTAGTTATGCTGCTATAGGCTTAGACTACCGGGGAAACTAGCACCTTGAGCTCCTCTCTCTCTCTCTCTGTGCATATACAGTACATCATATTACTGCATGTATCTATCTGTAAATCTCAGTCACTAACCACCTACTTTCCTGAGAGCTCTTGAGCTCTCTTAGGCTCCTCAAGATCGTTGGTTGACGGCCTGCCAGAACAATTTAATTGAATTTATATAGCGCTTTCATTCACAGTGCCCACTTAGCTCATTAAAATAGACAACTCAAAAACATTTCGGACTATTTAAAAAACACAGAATATAAGTGAAGCATACAGACAACTCATGACTCGAAAAAAGTGTGTTTTTAGTTTACGACAGAACATGCCTGCCTAATGTCCAGAGGTAAACTGTATGGAGCAGGGAATAAAAAAAATCCGCTCACCAACTTTCTACCAAAAATAGTGAGGCAAAAAGCCAAGCAGACATTCCAAAAGGAGGGTGAACCTTGTAATGGCTTTCACCCGCAGACGCAGAGCTGGCCTGTTTTCTGTCGGACAGGCAGGTGCAAAACACTCGTGGTTAGCTTGTGCTAGCGTGCAGTAGCTTGAAAAGTAGCTACAGACAGTAATGTAATGTGCAATGTGAGCCCAGGAGGAGGGGCCCAGTTTGAAAAATAATATTAAAAGCTGCAACTAACAATGCTACTGACTGTGCCTTTAACTGTTAGAAAGTGAATATTCACTTTTTATTGAGACATTTTGTTGTGTTGATTTGAGACAGCGGAATATAAAATTCAACATCTCTCATTTTAATTCAAACTGCAACAAAAGTTGAAAGAGCTGTTGCCTTATTGATTTCATGTAGAAGTAGACAGCTGCAAATACTCGTTTTCTTGAGCATGAAGAGGTTTCAGACAGAGTTTAGAAATTATGTTGCCAAGTGAAGCGGCCAGTAAAGATCTCAGACAGCCTTCCTCAAGCAAGTATCTGTTCTGTCAAATGTTCTCCCCCAAACGATTTACTGCTTAGAGATCTCTCACTGTGGGAAAGTGGACCGAGGGAAATCAATTTGACCCGAAGAGGGCAAGACATTGATCTCTGAGAGGGAGAACCAGACACTTTCCTCTTGTTCTGCTTTTTATAGACCACACAACATCATCTGATGTGTGTCTTCTACCCACCATCCATAGAAAGACTCAATCGTGCTTCTGGAAACAACGCTGCAGCCATTACATTGAAGTGTAATTATTCAAGATTATGTCTTAAAAAGGTTGTTGGGTTTTTCTCCTTTGCAGGGCTCAGTGTGCTTCCCTTCGTTTTCTTACTTAGACCTTAACCCAGTGAAACTTTGTTGAAAACAATGCTGAGATAAATCAGGTTGTGCTCTGACTGGTCAGCTGTGCTAATGCTGTTAGCAGGGGACACATTAAAGATAAAGAGTTGGTCAGAGCTTTGGAGCTGTGAGGCTGCACAGGCCGGATAAAGCTGTGTTTGATATTAATTCATTATGCTAATTTAGCTGCTGTATTCCCCAGAGCTGAAGCTCGAGTGAGGGAGTTTGATGTCGAGTTGGTGTATGTGCTGCATACATATGAGTGTGTCCGTGTGTGTGCAGGCATACTCTCTGTTGGCTCATTG